TATAGAAGCTCAGATAGTCTCTCACAGTTCCCATTACCTCAAGGAACAAAGATTCTAAGTCTTCATACACTGGAATTACCTCACAGCCTAACTTCAAAGCCAAGATATCTACCATAGATATCTATGTCCTAAAAAAAAAACCCCTTCAGGGGGAAAAAAAAAAAAAAAAAAAAAAAAAAAGTTAGGACGGGAACAGCTACGCCAAGCACGTGAATTCAGACAGGCTTCTCATTTTATTTCCCTGCCAGCATAAGGTTAGGCAGTCCTCCTGCAAGACACTGCATTTCCTTTGCTTTCCAAGACAGATTCTGATAAATTTTACAAAACTAACTGACCCCCTTATGAGCAAAACTCAAGGAATGGTAGCTTCTCCTGTACATTAGAGCTGAACTTAGAATTGGGCAATTTCCCCCCAAAGTTAAAGAATATCTATGGTTGAAGCAGTTAATATCCTATTTAAAAAAAAAAAAAACCCACAAAAAAACTCTTATGAACTTTCTCCCCAGACTAGAATTCAATGAGGCAAATGTTACTCATCAGGTTTAAAACAAATTAAGAGCAAATGCACATATAGCCCCCCATCTTCTTCTTCTAGAAAAACTACTTTCAGATTATCATTATTTTTTGTGTGAAATTTAGCTATTTATGTTTTTCTAATTGCTTCATCCAGGCAAGTTCTTTTCCCAAGATTTGGAGGCGCCAAGAGTGAAATGATTTTCAAAGAAAAGAGGAATTGTCACTTTCATCTCCTTAAAGCCAGAGGTGTGAAAAGAGTTTAGATGAACGCTGACATTTGCCTGAACCAAAGGAGTAAAGAAAAATGTGTCAGCCTAGTAACTTTCTTTTGCAAACAGGGCTTTGAGGGCCAGGACACAAATTATGCAAGGAAGGCTTTTTGTAGACCCCTTTCTTTTAAGAAACTACCTCAGATGGGTTGTCATTGTCTCACTTTACTCTCACTAAATTTCCATTCAAATAGAAATATTGGGGAAATTAGTATTGCATTTTTAAAGTCAGTAGCTGTGTGCTTAGTATCCAATTAGTACAGGGCTTATCTAAAAAAACTCGCAAAGTATTACTTTGCATAAAAATTCATGCAAATTAAATTACTTTTAAAAGATGAATGTTTTCTGATCACAAAACCCGCTGAACTATGACAAAGTTATTTGCCTTAAAAAGCTAGACACTTATAATGATATTAAAGATAAGCGTAATCATAACACATCAGAAGTTTCAGCTTTTATTTTAGTTTAAACAGAGCTTTAAACTTCTGATTCCTGAACACTCAAATTAGGTATCTAATTAGCATTAGGTATCTAGCATTAAAAAAACAAACAAACAGATAACTACTCAAGCTTGTATTTTTATTTATGTAGCTGCTGATTAGGAAGCTATAGAAAACTTGATTACTTGAATTAACAACTATGAGTAGCATACATAAGTCCACAAATGCATTGAATAAATCCTCTTGCTCTAGGCCACGGCTTTAGGAGCCTCATTCAAAAAGAGAGAGAGAAATAAGGAAACTTTTTAGCAGTGTCTTTTAGCCACGTTTCAATTTAATCTCATATTTGAGTTCCACAATTGTTTTTTAATACGTACCCTTTGCGCCATCGGCCTCTTTGGCTCCCTTCCTACTTCAACTTCTAATATATCCTCTTTAAGGCCAGTGTGAAAAGAAACAAATATGCAAACTCCCCCAGGAAAAAAAAAAAAAAAAGCACGACGAAAAATCCCTTAACGTCTCCAGCAACGTGAGCTACTGATCCCAGATCTTCGGTCTATGGGACCTGAAGCAAAGCGCCCGAGTCACTGAGCATAAAAGCGCTCCGTTTCCAAGACAGCAGCGAGGGCAAAAAGAAAAAAAAAAAAAAAAAAAAAAAAAAAAAAAAAAAAAAAAGCGATCTTCTCCCCCCAAAAAAACAGTAAAAAAAAAAAAAAAAAAAAAAAAAAAAAAAGAGGGGGAAAAAAAAAAGCGCCCCTCAGACCCAACTACCAAATCTCATGGCTTTCTGCCACTCCAGCTGTCAATCACAGGCGAGGTTGTCAACGTGGTGAATGAATGATCATCCGCTCTGTCTTCTTCTGGTCAGAACACCTCAAATGTTAATATTCAAATGCACAAAGCCCTAGCGCTCGCTTCCCTCGAATCAGTCCTAATTCCTAATCAGTTTCTCTCTTCTCTCGCTCTCTCTTTCTCTTTCTCTCTCTCTCTCCCTCTTTGCAACTGCTGCACTGGAGGGAGATTAGAGGAGGGTTAAAAAAATGTCTGTCTGAGTTTGTCTTAAAGGAGCCACGATCGATGCTGCCCGCTTGCAGTCCCCGTGCGTGTGTAAAGTGTGTGTTGCACAGGCGGAGAGGTGGATTCCGACCAGAATGCTAGAACCCGGAAGTAGTGGTGGCCATAACAGGTCGCGTCTTACACAATGCATTGGGCTGCAGCAAGTAGGCTCCTCGGCAGGGGTGGGTGCGCGAAGCGAGCTCTGGCCGCGCTGGAGAGGCAGCGAGGCGCTCCATTAAATCTCACGCCCAGGCACAGACATCACCCAGCCAGGGCACACGCACACAAACACGGGCAGCAGCCCCCGGCCACCGGCTTTATTTTCCGTATTCTTTTCTCTCCCTCCCCCTCCAGACTCTGTCCCCAAAGCCGACTGTCTTGAAATAAATTGGGAATAAACGCCGGGCGGGCAGTCCCGGGAGTTATTTTGCACAGGGCTCCGCGCATAGGCTTCATGACTTTCCTCGAAATGACTGGGGTCCGCCAGTATTTTTCGGGATGGAAGGTGATGGTCAAAGTACTGGATTCTCAGAACTAAACACCCCAAGGAGAAAAGTCAAACCGGGAGCTAGGAGGAGGAGGGGAGCGGGGCCGGGAAAGGCTCTGCTGAGTCTTGAGAACGGGAGACGGAGGAGGCTCGGGCTTTCTGCAGACCCAGCTTAGAGTTTTGTCGCTGTCAGAGGTGGACGCCCGGCCGGAGGAAAGCGAATGCTTGCGTTTTGTCATTTGGGGTCTGAACGCCCGCATCCTCTGGCCCCCGGAGGGCCGCGGCCCCAGCCCCGGCGTCCTGCGCGAAGTGAGAGGGGAAGGGAGGGAACAATGAGCTGAGCGCCGGGAATGTGCCCCCAGCTCCTGTTTACAAACACCCAGCTATTTATGATCGCCGGAAAGCGAAACCCGACGCGGGCTCGGAGCAGCCTAGACCTCGCGGGCGGAGCCGGGGCTGGGCGCTGGAAGGGAGGCTCTTCCTCCGACCGGCTGGGTTGAGGTGGCCGTGCGCCCAGGGCGCGGCGCGACGGGGTCGGAGCCTGAGGCTCGGGCTGCGGCCGCCGCCGCCTTTGTCTTCAAGGAGCCGAGGGGCTCCAGCGTCGGCCTCGCTCGGGCCTGGAGGGGCCCCGCGCCCCCAGCTATTTCCTCGGTGACGCCCCGCGCTCTCCTTCCCAGACCTCCTTCCCCGCACTCCGCTTTCCTGTCCCCAACCCGGCTCTGCGAAGACTCTCAGTGCCAGAGAAAAAGAAATCCCCTTCGGGGCTGGGATTTCAGACAAAAGCTGCTTGTACCCACAACTCGAAGGCTCCAACCAGCCTCTGGTTTTAACTTTCTCCCTTTAAATACCTACACTTTGGGCTTTCAGAAATGTTTCCTTCTCTTTATTCTCCCACTCTAAGCTTGCACTGGACTCTTTTATTTAGTGGTGTTATTTTCGTATTTATTTTTCTGCCCACCCGGCTCTGATTTCCCGACATGGCTCAGCCGCAGCAGCTCTACCAGCGGCTGGAAATCTCACATCCCTGAGCAGGGCTCGCAGCTTGCTCGGCTGGGAGAGGAGCCTCCCCCTCCCTCCAGCTGAAACCTCGCAGAAAACTCCCCCTGCGGTCGACTGGAAAATGAGCTCACCCAAATCTCGGTAGGCAGCCGTGGAGGAGGGCTCGGCCAATCAGGAGGCGCCCCCGC